ATTCCTATATGCCACTAACGACTATTGATAATTAAATCAAAACAGTGGATAATTGAGACTATGCTGTTTATATTAATGATTTTAGTAATGATGATCGAGACTATGCAAAAATGTCATCCGCTTCTTTCTCGGCTCATAGTGGATCAATTTGACTGAAATTTTCAGCAAATTACCTTTACACTATCTAGTTTTTAACTTTTATAGCGAGAACTGCCATCTCTTTATCTTATCTCCCATAATGTATCTTTAAGTAGTTGGATCTTCTTTTCCCCTAAGTTTGCATTTAGCAAGTTCACCTTTTTTACTTGTCAGGATTTCAAAAATATAAGTTGTTTAGAAAGAATATTATTTTTACAAACATTTCTGTATTATTTAGATTTTTTTTTTTTTTAAAAAAGAGTGAAACATAAGAGGGAGGCCAGTTGTACCAACAAATATAGTACCTATAGTACGAATAAAATTCTAGATTTCATTTCAATTAGCGATGCAAACGAATGCTAAAGGCACTGCGCTACCATTCTTCTTATCTACATGACTGACTGAAATATGGCGGGTTTGCATTTTCAGATTTTAATATTTACAAACATCAAAATTACATAACTTCGTTAATTTTTTATTATTTTTAAATTTTTATTTCAGTTTTGCAAATAATAGGAGGGGTAAAATATAATACAGCTTGTACAAATTTGGTGTAAAAACCCCCACCCTCTAAAAACACTTTGGATTGCTATTTAAATAGATATTAAAAATTTAACTTTCTTCTGGAGAGTCAAGGACAATAGATTGGACAGCATTATTTGTTGTTGAAAAGGCCGGTCTTCCTGTTGTTGCTTTCATTTCGAGTTTGATATTTGGCTAGTGTTAGCATGGCGATAAGGAGAAAATAATCTCCTAACCTTAGCTACTTCGAGCATGGACCTACTTGGTCATGCTCTGGCACTTGTTATTGTACTTGTAGAGGTACATCCGCTTCTTACGGTTTACAGCTCACTGACAGCTTTCCGTAACAATTCTGCCAAGTCCCCCATGATGAACATGTGCTATAAACAGAACTGACAAATTGAAAGTACGGGTACGAGTTACCTTTCCCTGGAATCGTTTATTTTTCTGGAAAAATATCGTATTTTAATGACATGCAAAAAGTCACGTAATCATATTTATTTTCGTAATATAAATTGAGAAGATCTCGAGTAGAAAATCTGAAGTTAAAAGTCGAATGTCAAAAGTTGATTATTGAAAGTAGAAAGTCTGTTGTTGAATGTCGACGAGTTAAAGTTGAAAAGCACAAGAGGTACATGTTTCCCTCATGACAATCTGATTAATAGACAGATCCTATTTCGTTTCGTTTTTTATAGTTCAAAATTTCGTTTTACTTGTCTTTACTACACTAAATAGTATCTGGAAGAGTTGTTATATTAGCGGCGTTCTAGTTGAAGTGAGAGATTAACCAATGAAACGGTCCGTTACGGCGAGTTCTTGGCGTGCGATGCACGGAACTGTGGGTAAACCACTAGGAACGTCAACGCTGATTGATTAATCAATGTCTGACGCCATAGACCGAAGGCCACTCTAACGACACCTGACGTGACCTTCCAGCACAAGTAGTCATTTTTTCATGCAGTGCAGGCCATCAATTATAATTTTCTTTGTTGCTTTTGATTTTCTACTTTCTATTGCAGATCTCATTTTAAACCTTATAAACCGTCATAGGAGACGAGGCTACGCACCGTTAGATAATCTCGTATCTGAATAATCTAATTTACGGGATAGTACGCTATCTTACCGAGATTTCGTCTAATGGTTTGGATGCAGCTATAGCGGGTCTGTTACCACTTTTCGTGCACGGTGAACAGTCAATTTGCTGATTACACTGTTTTGCCGATACCGTTTTTTAGGACTTCGAATTTTGTCTAATGGTTTGGGTTGTTTGTACTTGGGTTTATTTTATTCATTCGCAAATCAATATTCAGCCACATGACAGTCTAAACATTTTTTGGTGAGCTTATCCAAAGCCATATCCCAAGCATGAATAACTGACATATTATCTGTATAAACACCAACACAGCCAGTGGTTCCCAACCATTTGTTGGTCGCGACCCCATTCCAGAAACCATTCTCTGATCGCGACCCCGCGAGGAACAAAGCCACCGTTTATTATGAAACATCATCATTATTTACAGATCAAAATTTTGTAATGAGAGACTGAGGAAACAAATCGTGAGCATGAGATGTGAAATGAGGTAAATCGGTAAGAGATTTACGGGGGCTGGCTGAAAAGTTCCAAGTCTATCTGTGAAAGACCTGTACAAAGTCGATGGTTTCCATTTGACGACTGGCAAGTTCCTGTTTCATATTTGGAAACAGGTCTCATCCATGGTTACAAATCTGTATCAAAATGGCACAGACTGTCATAGGAGTACGGGTCCGATAAAAGTTAGGGGGCCAGAACACGAAATGCCCGAACAAATTTTGGATTACAGACGGCGGCGCTGGTCTTCTGCGAGAGCGGCGGAGCGGAACGTGCCGTATAGGGACCCCCGCAAGAGCGTTCTTCAGCCATTCCAAGCCCGTGAATACAGCAACTTCAAAGTGGTCTAATTATGATGGCCGACTCGAATTCCAATCAACCAATCAATCGTTTACAGTCCAGGGAGACGGGACCATTTGGAGAAAATTTTGAAAATTTAACTGCCTCAAACGCGTTTTCCTACTGTTCCAGCCCGCGAATACAGCAACTTGAGCGTGGTCCAATATAGCCTACCTCAGTCGGCTGACCTGAATCACAACCAATCAATCGTCGCGGGGTATGGGGGCCTTGCCCTCCGGAGAAAATTGTGAAACTTTAACTACGGCAAATGCGTTTATCTGCTATTCTAGCCCGTGAGTTAAGCAACTCCAAAGTTGTCCAGTGGTTTTGTAACCGAAATCACACTATATGCCCACCTGAATTCCAACCACCCAATCAGAGTCAGACTGTTGCAGCGGCATTCACAAATAATAATCGATGCCCGAAAAATATCACACAAAATAAAGTGGCTCCAGCCAAAATGTTTTAATCCGTGGTCAATTCAATACATATTCGTGGTATTCAATTAAAAGAAAACTAAAATTTGTGTTTTATTAGATTTCGGGCACTTTATTTTGCCAACTAGATGAAATAATAATTTTTTTTTTCACTTTACCCGTCTGCCCGAAAGTTAGCGTGGCAGCTGCCCCCTCAGATCCTTCTCCCGCCCCGCCCCGCCCCGGGGAGTACCGGGAGAAAACCCATAAGGTTGGACAGGTGGCCGAATGGTTAGCATAAGACCTGTCAATGAGTCAATTGGCGTTGTTTCGATTCCCCGGTTGTACGTGACAAGGAGTAGGGTCGCATGTCTAACCTTATGGGTGTTCTACCAGTACCCCGGTTTCCTCGCAACGCTAAAGACCCCCTACGCGCAAGCGAATTATTGAAAAAAAATTGAACCCGAAATGACCTGGCTTATGGACGTTAAACCCCATTTCTCTCTCTCCTATTTATTTCTAGTCCCTAAATTTAGCATTATATATCAGTGGATATGCCAAAGTGAACGGTTTAAACGTTATTTTAAGGTGTCCGATTTCTTGAGACTCATTCGTACACGCAGAATACTCTACTGAATGATACTCAAAAGACAACTTTTGCAGTTCAATTTGGACATGGACACTTTCGCGTCAAAATTACTGCCAGTGTTTGCCATTGGGATATTTCCAGGTTTTGCTACATTCGTTTCTAAGCTCATCATCAGTTAAGAGGGTAAAATAATGGTAGTTATATTGACTATTATCATCGTACTCATCTTTATCATAACCACCATAACCATCATCATCATCAAAATCATTACAACCATCATCAATATTATCTATGTCGTAATCTTTAGGATGAAGAACATCTGTTAATAGAAGAAAGTCGTTTAATTCTCTGGGCAGTTCTAGATCCATAAGCTTCTCCTTTATACCCAACCCTAGCTTCTGTCTGATGATTCTCCTACATTGAGACATGAGGGATATATTACAGCAGTAGTTAATGAATATCTCTCGGTGTCGAGAGTGGAATTGATCATCTGGATCATTTTTATCTTCTTCCTGGAAATTTATTTCTTCTTCTGGTGCATCTCTCAGTAGTAATAGTCTTCTCATCTCATCTCTTTCTAAATTTTTATCTTCCTTCTCAAAATTTAAAGTTGCTACAATTTCGTTTTCAGGAGATCCACTAAGATATAACAGTTTTCTCAGTTCATCTCTCTCTTGACTGCTAAGTTCTCTCATATCAATCTGGTGATAACTTCTTTCAACTGAAGATGTAACAATAGACTGAAGACAGCAGTTTTCGCCGACTAAAGATTTAATAAAACTAACAGCCGTACGTGGATCCCAAAAACGTGGAAAACACAAGGTCGCTTGGATCAGCGTGTTACCATTAATACATGGTAAATTGAGAAGCATATTATCTCCAGCAGATACGAGTAATTTGAAACTTTGATCAAACACACTCTCATAAATATCAACATAATGTAAAGCAGATTTTCCATTGCAATTAACCATTGCACCAGTATCAAGTAATTTCCTTATGAGAAACCTATCGTTCTTCATTTCCGCCATCATTAAAGCAGTTCTACCTCTTCCATCTGGAATATTGACATCAATACCAGCAGCCAGTAAAATATCAACACACTCCATGTATATTGGATATATCTGTCTACAGTAATTCTCAACAACGTCATTTTCCTGTCTGTTATTCAATCCATCTTTAACCATAGTAAATCCAATGATGCATAAATGAAGAGCTGTATGACCTTGGTTATTCTGTGCATTGATATCTATTCTAGGGTGACGTGTGATTAGTTCTAAGTATTTACTATTCAATAAGAGGGCAGCTATCATAATAGGTTTGTTGGTTTTAGAACATGGATGGTTTATGTCTAGCTCTTTATTAAACAACCAGTTAAATTTCTTTAGAGAATAATCATAGTTTACTCTAGCTAACAGATGTAGAATATTTTTCCTTCGGTTGTAGGACCATTAATAATCAACTTTAATCCCATATAATAATTGAACACCTCTAACCTCTTACACGCAAGAATCTGGTGAAATAATTTCACTCCGTTGTTAGGAGACATCAGTACCCCGCGAGAATATAGTTTAAATATATTATGAGAATTTAACAAGGGATATTGAAAACAATAACTACACGCTGTATCACCATTATTATCTGTCAGATTGACATCAGAATATTCAATTAACAGTTTTAAGATACTGACATCAACTTGTTTTCTTGTGTAGTACATTAATGGCGTCTGTCTTTTTTTATTTTTATGATTCACATTACAACCAGCAGAGATCAATGCAGTGATCAACATAAATTGTAATCTAATGATATTTCTTGTTGTGAATAAAATTAAGGTTAACGGGACTCTGTGTCTTGCTATATAGAACAAGGGGATATTACCACGATTGTCGGGTTTATTTACATCTATTCCCATGTTTATCAGAGTTTTAACAACCTGAATACAATCCTTTGAATACTGTTCAACATCTTCCTGGTCAATATCGTATATATTATATAATAAATGGTGCAGAATATCTTGGTCGTTAATATCAACATAATGAACATGCGCGCCATGTTCTAACAAATACATTACAACTTTATACAACTTATAACTATCAGCTATAACAATAGGTGTCTCGTTATAGTTATTCAGATGGTTGACATCTACACCAGCTTCAACTAACTTAATTACACACTGTAACAACTCATGTCTGTTCCCAAAAGTGATGGCTGGTAAAGTGTAACTGTGTAAAATTAGGTGTAATACATTTTCCTGCTTATAATCAGTATAGTGCAGAGCTAAATCACCACAATGTTCTATCTGAGATAACACAACTTTATACATTCCTGCCCTAGCAGCTTCAATTATAGATCCAGCCATTTCCTGGGGTGATAATGTTGCCAGTAAATCTGATATATGACCAATTTGGTGGACTATATTAAGGTTTTCGCCTAATCTGAAATGTATTAAAGAAGTTTTAGGTTTAAAGACCTATAGATAAGACAAAGTGTTTGGCCACCGTGGCGCAACAGTGAGAAAACCAGGAGCTAAACGTGACCAGATTGGGGTGATCCGTGGAGAGATAGTAACAAGACAATCGTATGTCAAAAAACCTGCACATGGTCGCATGTAGCTTATTGTGGCAAGGAGCCACTGTGGCTAGTTGGGTAAGGCGCTGGCTCGCTAGCCTGGAGGTCGGGTGTTCGATCACTGCATTGGCCGAGAAAGTTCATCCCGATTTTCCGACGTGGTTTCCCCTTGTCAGTGATGCAGGACGAAGGGCCTGACAAGGACAGCTTTCTAGTCCTTCGGATGAGACGAAAAACCGAGGTCCCGTGTAAACATTGGAATGCACGTAAAAGATCCCTTGGCAGTTGGAATTCGATATAAGAGTAGGCGATAGGGCAAAATTTCCCCTCATAGCACACTGTATGGCGTATGCCCGTCTTCATTAGCCCAGTATAGGAGCAGAACAGTAGGACGTTAAACCCCATTTCATTTCATTTCATTTATTGTGGCAAAAACCGTAGTAGTGACATGGGTAGGGTACAGAGTAATAAACCGTGGTGGCGCAGTAGTGAAGTCGCGATCTATATTGGATTCTCGGCATAATAGACCTGAAGCTAAAATTTCTAACGTCCAGTTCCGCTACAAGGTCCTCGAAGCTAAACACTAGGAATACAAACCCCGAGAGTTCTAAGAAAAACTTTGTAATAACTCGATTTAGGGCCTGTTGAAAATTGTCATAAATGTTATATTTATACTAGAACATTTTATCCAATGCCTTCATCCTCGGCATACGATATTGTGCCCCGTTTTTATAACTTTAAAAGCCTGACATTGCTCTGGAATTAATACCAGGGACGTACGAGGTTGGACGTACAACCGGGGATTCGAAACCACGCCAGTTGACTCAATGACAGGCCTTATGATACAGCGCCATTCAGTCGTCCCCCCCCCCCCGATAGTTTATTGGAGGGAATGGGTGATACAGACTGCCACTAACAAAAACAAAAGGGTATTCCTTTTACCCCATTTCGTGATACTTCCGGTCTGTCGAAGATACTAATCACCAAGTGATAGCACTTCACGTTTGATTTGTAATTAATAACGGTATAAAATGACCAATTTAATAACACTGGAAACTGTATAATGGTCCAAAAAACTCTCGTTGTCAATAAAAACGACGGTTAGTGTTAGAACTAGTGAGTATTGTGAGATGATAGGCTGTAGTAGATGAAATGTTTTCAACGAGTCAAAACAATTTCATTTGAATCCCCTCGACTTCCTGTGGATTGTAAGTATCTACAACCATTTGAGTGTAGGTTATAATTCGGTATTCTATATTTTAAGTGATTACAGATGGTTTTCAGTATTTTACTCACTTTAGACAGATAGAATCCCATGGTCGCTCTGTTTACGACTGACTGATGATTGGATTGGACAAATCGATAATGTTTATTATAATTTAAATATGTACAGATTTAATCTTTGAGTGGCATTTAGCGATCGGGAAACACATTAATTCTAAAAGCCCGACGTTTCGACAAGTATCCTCGTATCGTTATCAAGCACAATTTGTCGAAATTTCATGCTTTTTGGAATAAAACTAGAGATTGTACCCCATAAAAACACTGTCCTATTATTTAATATATAGATTTAGTTAATATAATATTTACGTTACCTGTCAAACAACAGTTCGACATTTATTGTTCAGCTCACATCACAAATATCAATCGTCTTGACTAAACTCACGAAGTCTATTTTTATCTAAAAAAAACCCAAGAAAATATTTATGACTGTGTCTATTAAAGATACCTTCCCAGAAAAGTAGTTATCGGGTGTTTATTTCCATAAAAGTATGGCAATTTTGGTATATATTGGAAGTAGAAACATCCAATCTTACTAGAAAGATAATGGATTCCATGAAAACCACCCATGGGGTGCATACAGGGCAAAAATGTAAGGGTTTCCCTAACCGGCAACCCGGCGATTATTGATGTCTGGTCGAGTAACGTCAAAGGTAGCACGTAATCTTCCAACGTTAGTGAGTGCTTAATGTTGATAAACTTGATGCTGCAATAGTTTCTGAGTTAAACAACCAAGGAAAACAACTTGGGCAGTGGATAACCCGAGAATTTATTGGGCTTTGATATTTTGAAATACATAGTCAGCGATTAAAGACCACATCGTCTTGTATATGCAATGAAATCTCCCCCGGCTTCGCACCCGTTGCTAGGTACCGAGAGAGGTAAGTCACGTAACACAAACATGACCTCTTTTGATCAATTTGTTATAGTAGGGGCATTCCCTGACAATTACAATGTTTTGAGAGGGATTTGAATCAAAATTATGGATTAATTAGTTTGAATATGTTTTTAGTCCTAGTCCAAATATATCATCAAATCACCAAGTTTGTACGCGGGAATGTATCTTTAATAATATGAGACAGCCAAGCTATATTTCATAGCTGTTTCTATTGATAATATCATCATCCATGATTGATAATTTAATAAGCCAATGATTGTATAAGTTAATATCAAGACAACACTTGAGCTAAATTGATCAACACTTGCTACTATTACACCGTTGTTCATTAATGGGTTAACATACTCTGCCCCGTGCTCGACACCCGCCACTGTCTTGGTGTAGTGTGATCATTAGGTTGAATCAAGCTGATCTTTACCCATAGACGACACGGTAAACACTGATGGTTAAGTTTTCAGTCACCGTATACGTTATACAAATGGCAAACTGACATGACATCAAACATTCAATATTGTTCTATATAATTAAATGTGAAGTAATCTCTATTGTCCTCTATAATTACCGGATACAATGTCAAGTAGGTATGATATATCGACAACTGTACTTATCATAATATTGTACAGTAATAATACACAGTAGTTTGACATACACGACTGTCGGTACACGGACTATAACTAAAGCTATTTAATGCGAGAGAGAGATGCGGTAAATTCGCGTGTGTCTAGTGGTCTTTAGTGGTAGGAAGAAACCGGAGGACCCGGAGAAAACCCACGGGGTTGGACAGGCGACCCTTCTCCTTGATACGTACAACAGGGAATTGAAACCACGCGAGTTGACTCAATGTAGAGAGAGATAGAGAAATAAGGTTAATTCGCTTGTGTCTAGTCACTAGTGGTCTTTAGTGGTGAGCGGACACGGAGAAAACCCACGTTGTTCTACAGGCGACCCTACTCCTTGCCACGTACAACCGGGGAATCGAAACCACGCCAGTTGACTCAATGACAGACCTTATGATACAACGCGCACGCGCTAACCATTCGGACATCCAACTCGTATTCAATGCGAGAAGAGAAGAATGATATTCATATGAGAGGGTGAAACATCCACTGAACACAAACTAGGTGGATTTTAAAATAACAATAACCATGGTACTCAGGATAGTGGCTGAGATATGAGGTTTGACGTTTACTCGACACAACTTACGTCAATTCGAGATTACGATATAATAATTATCAACACAGACAAAAGTTGTTGAATTAATATAACTATCCAATAACATACATTAGTGTGTAAACCTGTCATTTCAAATATCAAATTCAGTGCCACTATGACATAAAAAGAAATATAATTCATCGAGCTTCAATGTAAAAATAAATATATGAATCCGTGACATGGCATCTTTTTGAACGTAGATTTCAGATGCCGAAAGCCCCTGAGTTTAAGAAAAACCAGGGACCTATAACCACCAGTATAAAATAATTGAAGCAAGGAATTTTTACATAAGTATCAGTTGTTGTTATTATATCTTTAAGGTACGATAATATGTTCCTGATTTATTAAGTAATAGTGGTTGCTATTGTATCTTTAAGGAAGGGTAATATGTTCCTGTATCTTTTGGGTACGATAATATGTTCCTGATGTATCAATATGTATATTATTTACACCTGTAGAAGTTTACAATATCTGTGAAGGAATACCCTTACCTTAAACCGTAAATAATATGAAATTCCTTTTAATCAGTTTAAAGTAAAGTTTAAACACCAACGGTAGATACTTCCTTAATTAAAATACACTACTTTCGAACGAAACTAAATGGCCACAGATCACTAAACATTTGCCCATTGACTTTAATGTTAATTCTCGTCTCTTAGACCGGCTCTAACTTTTTCCCAAATTTTCGTTGGGTAGAACACTTTCTACCACAGATGGAGCAACATGTGGCAACCTCTTGCCCAAAAGCACGTATGAGGTTCACCATGGAAAACTTGAGATACACAAGCTGGAAGTAGAGACAAGAAAACATGCAATTTTGGACCCTACATTTCAACCTAACCAACCTCTCAACTCTTGTATCCTTCCGCCTCAAAATCATGAATATTCACCAAAACCTGGTAGAAAATGTATTTTCAAACCCTTTTTTTCGATTCTACACCAAAAAGTTAACAAAAAGTCGCCATGCAAAAGGGGGAAAAATGGAAAGGGAGAGAAAGACTAAAAATAACTTTCGCCCTACATTCGTGGGCTGTGGGTGACGGCGTAGAAATATTTGATGAGCTATGTCCAAATAAAATGAGTTGAATTAGAGTTACCTCCCATTGATAGTCATCGAAAATTAAATAACGTAGCTAATAAAATATGGTTATGAATGATACACTCCTATCTAATTAACAAGAGATGAAATGGGATCATAATCCAGTAAATTTCGCAGGCTAGCGATGCATCGAGAGTTGATTATGGTCTGGATAAGTTAATTAATGTCTAATTAATAATTTAGATAATCATGTGACTATTTATCAATTTACTATGTTTTAGTATGTATGTCATTTACCGTTTATATTTATAGAATGAAGTGTGTATTATACTGTTTATATTTATAGAATGAAGTGTGTATTATACTGTTTTTATTTATAGAATGAAGTGTATATTATACTGTTTATATTTATAGAATGAAGTGTATATTATACTGTTTATATTTATAGAATGAAATGTGTATTAACCTGTACTGTTTATATTTATAGAATGAAGTGTATATTAACATGTACTGTTTATATTTATAGAATGAAGTGTTTATTATACTGTTTATATTTATAGAATGAAATGTGTATTAACTTGTACTGTTTATATTTATAGAATGAAGTGTGTATTATACTGTTTATATTTATAGAATGAAGTGTTTATTATACTGTTTATATTTATAGAATGAAGTGTATATTAACTTGTACTGTTTATATTTATAGAATGAAGTGTATATTATACTGTTTATATTTATAGAATGAAGTGTATATTATACTGTTTATATTTATAGAATGAAGTGTTTATTATACTGTTTATATTTATAGAATGAAGTGTGTATTAACTTGTACTGTTTATATTTATAGAATGAAGTATATATTATACTGTTTATATTTATAGAATGAAATGTGTATTAATTTGTACTGTTTATATTTATAGAATGAAGTGTATATTATACTGTTTATATTTATAGAATGAAGTGTATATTAACTTGATTGTTAGTTTAGCTGTTTTAATGTATCTTCAACAAGATGTGAATGGGTTGCTGTTTAGGATCCGATCATCACGATGGGATGTTGGTAAACGTAACATATATGTTGATGAATTTGTCTACGATAAACCATCATCAGCAGACGATGTAGCCTCACTCCTAAATGTAGATAATAATGAAGCCAATGCCATTGTAGACTACTTTGACACAGACGGTAAGTTTTTGTTGAATCTCATGACAAGATGTATTTTCTAATTGACAACGAGAGAAAGAGATTCGCCAAAGCCACCTACATACGTGTATATCATAAAGTAGGTCATATTTATGGTACAAGTTACTAACAATATGTCTCTTCCATAATAGGCAACGAGTTGTTAGCTGTGGGAAGAAACCGGAGGAAACAGTAAATTATACATGACGATTTGTGACTAAGTTGTTGGATTTACATTCTTAAATTTTCGATCTGTGTGTACCATTAACTTTGTAGATCAGCAAAGTGATAAAATTGTCTCTCAAAATTTGGGTTTGAAGTGGAATTTGAAACCTAAAAACCTCTGATCTTGATTAAGTTGAAGACTTGAATTCCTTTGATATTCACTCAGAGGATTCATTAGATTTCAAGCTGACTAATGTATGTTAGTGTTTGATCATCATGATCACCTACTCACGAAAACAACTCATGGATTTACAACAATCATCTACTATAAGAACACTATCTCACAACGATTTTGTATGTCTTAAAGAAGTTGGTATCCTTAAAAGATTTAGAGGGAAGCGTTCTGGCACCCAGAAGCAAAACCAGTCTTACTCTCAGACTCTTCTAGGGTCTTTGAGAATAGGTCTTTGGAATGCTTGGTGTGTTAGAACTGTAATTTTTGTCTCAGTGTTTAAATACATGAGAACAACATCTGTACAATAATTATGTGATTACCATCTCCGAAGGATAGGCTCCATTCGTCATATATTAACAGGAGATGCCAATAGACTATTGTACTTCGTTACTAACTGGTATTACGAACAAACAGATTTCAAAACTCCAAAGATTACAAAATCGCGCTGCTTACATTGTCATAAAAACTAAATCAAGATCACACATCACCCCAGTCTTGAACAAATTACATTGGCCCCGTGTTCGAGAAAGGATCAGCTTTGAAATCTTATCGTTAACCCATCGATCGATAAACAAATCCGCACTAGGTTACTGTATCAACCTAAACGATCATTAATATCAGAAGGGAAACTATTATTTGATGCACCTGCCTATAATTGGAAATCATTTGGATCCAGAACTTTTCGATATAGCGCATCAATTGTTTGGAATACACTTCCAGAAAATATCCGACAATGTGAATCTGTGTCAGTTTATAAATCCAAAGTGAAAACTTGGTTATTGAGTCACTATCATTAACACTCCAAAGTGAGAACATTTTCGAGCGCCTAGTGAATTGAATAGTTGCGGGATACAAATATCATTATTGTTTATTATTATAACATTGATGAAACTTTAATTTTTTTTTCATTAAGTATATGTTGATATATTTCATTTTATATTAAAGGTGACGACCTGCTAAATGAAGAAGAATATGTTCAAATGGCTGAAGGCGTGTTACAGTTATTGGCCAAATTAAATAACTAATTGAACCTATTATAGAACTCTTAATATTAAGACCCAATCTCAGTCTACACAAATCATATTGAATTAATTGAAATATTTTCTTAAAATTAATAATTTATAATATTTATCTTGAATTAAGAAATAGAATATTATGGCAATATATCGGAATATTTATTCTCTATTTTATGTACGTTACCTCATCAGTTGTGTCATTAGGTCAGGGGTGTTTCGATTCCCCGGTTATACGTAACTAGGAATAGGGTCCTCTGTCCAACCTCGTGGGTTTTCTCCAGGCCCTCCGAGATCCTCTCACAGCTAAAGACCCGTGAACAAGTGAATTACTGGAATAAAATTGAATCACGTGTTATTACAGAAATGACCTTTGTTGACAAGTGGGGGGGGGGGACTGAATGGTTAGCACGTGCGTGCTGTATCATGAAGTCTGTCATTGAGTCAACTGGCGTGGTTTCGAATCCCCGGTTGTACGTGACAAGGAGTAGGGTCGCCTGTCCAACTTCGTTGGTTTTCTCCGGGTCCTCCCACTGCTAAAGACCCCTACGCGCACGCGAATTATGGAAATAAAATTTAACCATATGTTAGTCCCAAAATGACCTATTTTGTGTCGAGTGGACGTTAAACCCAATTTCTCTCTCTCTTGTTGACAAGTCACATGGTCTTTAAATACAGTGTTTTAAAAAGCTTCAACCGAAGTGAGCGACTCTTAATGTTAATTCCCGTCTCTAACCATTCCATTAATTTTCGATTCTACACCAGCAACACTAAAAATCGCGATGCAGAGGGATGGGCACTATATTCAGCGTATGAATTAATGGTGTTCAATGTCCATGTACGTGTTGAACCAGTGATTCTGAATGTCATTACCCAACACACACACACAGTTTATTCCTTCTTCCGTTAAATAACAGAACAAATTACAAATTTAATAGTTTTTGAACAAAAAACCCTCTTTGCACACTTTATCCATTCGGATTAAAAAAAAGATCCATCAAGACACGTTAACGAAGATTAGAGTGGGCACTGGCACCCTCCAAAACCGAAAGACAAAGAGTTGGCAAGTTGATTTTCCTCCAAAATGTCCTTATCGTCATGTTCGTAAGACCCTGCAAGGTATGCGAGCTCATCAAGCGTAAACAGAATAGAGGAGTGTGAGGGATCTTTTTGGATGGTCAAGAACCTAAGTTTTAAGCCGAGCACTTCTGGCTTCTCTGATTTACCAGATATACTAGTACTGGCCTGAAATTAACAACACACTCACAAAGAGACACATGCCTAACAGTAGAGATCCAACCTGGGGTTAGCTAAAAAAATATATATGCCCTTTGGTGGACCAACACATCATGTCTAACAGTAGAAATCCAACCTGGGGTTAGCTTAAAAGAATATATTCCCCTAGGGTTGCCCAACACATCATGTCCAACAGTCGAAATCCAACCTGGGGTTAACTAAAAAGAAATATATACTCATCAAAAAAAAGTAGGGGATATTCAGAAACAATTACGTGTAACCAGTGTATGTTAATACACATAAATAGTTCATATGGGCGGCTTATCTGACGGCCGCATTTCACTCGCAAAGAGATACACTGTCAAAAGTGAAAATGGACGTTTTTGATTTTTGTCTTAATAACGAGTAATAGCTCAACCAATCCTCAGACATTCAGCAATTCGTCTCTGCATGCTCCTAATCAACCGTCCAATCACGATCTGGGGCAATCTGACCCATTCCTCTTGTAGTGCCACGGCCAATTCTTGCAGTGTTGTCCGTTGACAAACACGTCTCCAGATCAAATTAAACGGAACACATGAATCGATAGGAAAGCAAACATGGATAGGATAAACCAGCAAGCGGCAGTTTTCATCAACCCTTCCTTGAAGTGTCAAATTTGACAATGACCCCCCTCCCACATGTATGGCGCTATTGCGAGTAGCACATGAAGCTCAGTGGTTCTGTTGGGGCGATAAGTTCTTCATCTGTGAACATACTCTCAAAGTATGTCAAGTGTCCATGACTATTTATCATATCACAACCTGCATAGGTTTTTGCATTTCAATATCCCCTACTTTTTGAAGGGTATAAATGCTCCCTTGGTTGCCCAACCTCGTTAGCGTACCTGGCGTAAAGAATATACAGCCTGGCTGATGCCTCATCTAACCCCTGTCCTACCATTCCAAGAATCTCGTCCAACTTTTTGCCCGTTTCCTTCCTAAAAGCGGTCTGTATTTCCTATAAATTATGAAACGAGTCTGTGAAGAATGGA